TTTATGACTTTATTCTTGTAATATTACAACTTTATTCTTGAAACAGAAACAAAAATCTCTAGCCCTAATACTCGTCGTACAGCAAAAACATCTGTAAATCAAAAGAAGAGTCAAAACTCTAAGAAACATGATGAGCGAATAATGATTTTAGTCTTACCTCAGGATACCTCGGAAAATATACCAAACTACTTTATTCATTTAATTTAATTAAAAAAAATTTTCCCAAAAAACTAAAAAGGGTAAAAATGAAACCTTTTCTCTGTGGTTTTGCTCCTGATGTTTAGCTGATTCTTCCAAGAGTCTCAGCTACACGCATAACACTAAGTCTAATTCTACGTTCAGACCGCATGGAGCAGAAAAAACGTACGTGCTGCTTCATTTTTCATGCTTGTATAAGTTTAATTCTGATGAGCGGCTGAAGCATCTTTACTGCTCTAGCTGCACGTTCAAAAAGTGGGTCTGATGCGCGGTGGGCGGAGCTACTCTATCCTTTCTTTGCCTGGAACAATGGCAGCTATATTAGCTGTGATCAACGGGTTAAAAAGTAGTTAGAATCTATGTTGAAGTGAGAAAGTCCTCCTGAAAACATGGTCTGTGCAGTCAGTTCATCCAGATTACCATCCTGCCTTCAAAGATTATTTCTCTGTAGGAGACAGCGGCGCACTGTCACTGGGAATCCCCAGCAGCAGCTGCCTCAGGCCCGCTTGCCTCTTTGCAGTTTTACGCTACTGTTCCCGGCTTTTTTTCAACATACGTAATCCAAACTGCAGGCACCAGAATAACAAAAACACATTTTGCTAGCAGGTTTTGACATTTTAAGTTAATTTAGGCATTTATAGAGCTGCTCAGCAAATTTGCATTATCTCCCTGAGCATGCTTGGGTTTTCTCCGGGTACTCCGGCTTCCTCCCACAGTCCAAAAACATGACTGTTAGGTTAATTGGCTTCTCTATATTCTGCTTAGGTGTGAGTGTGTGCATGAATGGTTATGTGTCTCTGTGTTGCCCTGCGATGGACAGTGTTGCCAACTCCTCAGTAAGGAAAGTAGCTATTGGCTGTGCTAAAAGTCGCTAAATGACATCATCGCCTAATTTGCATAGTCTGCCACAGGAAGTGATGTGCATGTTATTGATGCTGTGGGAGAAATAATGTTGTTACAGAAAGAACAAAAAGTGAGTAAAAACACTATTATATAGTGTTTTTACTCACTTTACTAAACAATATATAGAGCTACTTTTTTCTGTCCATTAATGTTTATTTATTTATTTATTTTTTTTATTTCATTATTTTAATTCATTTGCAGTCTGGACGCTGAGGGTAAACATCCTGCAGCTCTGACTGCAACGCTGAGAGGGACTCCTGCGGGAGAACGGGGTTGGGATTGGGGAGGCGCCCCATGGCAGCAGCTGCCGCTGGAGGACTAGAGTAGGAACGATACATGATTTCACGTAAGAGTCTCCAAAAGCCGCCAGTGACACCTTAAAAACTCGCCAGATTTGTCGCTAGTCGCTTTTTTGAAAAATAGTCGCTGGAGGGGTCTGAAAAGTCGCTAATTATAGCGACAAAGTCGCTAAGTTGGCAACATTTTCTGTGGGGGCCGCTCAGACCCCCACATAACGGCGGTGCGCTGTCGCTGGGAATCTCCAGCAGCAGCTGCCTCAGACCCGGTCGCCTCTTGGGGGTTTTCCCCTTCTGCTGGTGGCGGCTGGAAGTAGATGTTAGCATTTTTCAGGTATGTGGAACAAACTGCAGGCAGCAGGATAATAAAATCGAACATATTTTGCAGGCAAGTTTCAACATTTTAAGTTAATTTAGGCGTTAATAAACGGTTTCAGAGGAGTGATCATAGCGCTCTGCATCAGCAGTGCTGTGTCTGACTCCCTGCCAGCTCCCAGATCAGCTTCTCTGATTGGTCGATGTGGCGCGTCCAGCAGCTAAAGTTCAATTTTTCCAACTCCAGCAGCTGTCATGTGCTTCAGATGCTCAGAAGCTGATGAGATGCTGCTCCTGCTGCTCAACACAATCTGCGAGACCTTTTGCTGCACCTTTATGCACGTCAACCATTGACTTTGCATATAAACTAGCTGCTTCCTCTGCTTGCGGTCTGAACGTAGCATAAGGGTAGAACAGTGTGCTGTGGGGGAATGAAATATCTCCACCTACAAACCCAAACCCGGTTAGAATAGAAAATGGGGAGGAAAAAAAAGCATGAAATATGCCTTTAAAAGGAAATCTGCTCCATCCTGTTTATTTTCTACTGATTTCTGAAGGTTTTGTGAAGCTCTTTATCAAACCATGCCTTCTTCTCAATGAAACACATATAAACGAAAGGAACAAATGTAAACGCATCCAGACGGTTAATAGACCTCCTGCAAAGCAGCGCTTTTCTTTTTTTCTTAGAATAAATAAGGTGACTGAGTGAAGAAACATTGGCACTTTTTTTCCCAAAGCGAACTTCTTTAAAATATTTAAAATCTTTTCTTTTATCGCTCTGACTTCTTTTTAAACATCATCCAGTTTCCAGTTTAATCTACAGGTTTCTGATCCCACCCAGCTCTCCAATGTAAACTCATACGATGTATTAAGATTCCTAAACATGGCAGGTTTTTGAGTCAGTATCCTGTCATTTCTGGCAGTCATGGTTCCTTTAAAAACACAAACAGAAATCAAACCTAGAATCACTTATATCTTCCACTGAATCCAAATGAATCAGGTTTGGATATTTTTTTTAGTACCTAGTCCAGGAGGAGCATCACTCTGTCCCTTCGGTCTCATCCTCCCACATATTGTCCATAGAAATTTACAAAGATTTCCGCCGCCCCCGCGCGCCTCATGAGGTTTTCTCTTTGTGACAGTAGGCGGTGTCTGCAGCCTCCGGGGGTTTCAGGCCTGGATCCTGGGAGCAGCTTCTCTGTTGCTCTTTGAGGCGCAGATGTCTGGGTTTGACTGGCAGAGCTACAGCCAGGAGGATGCACATGAGGTGGAGGCTGAAGTACCACGATCTGCAAGAAGCAGGGCGGGGAAAAAACGGAGCATTTGAAGAAGAAGTTCCTTAATGTCTGCTGATTTATAATCCACAGCTAGGATTAAAACAGATATGAGGCAGTTTACTGACCTGTAAAACTTTAACGACGGGCCCACAGAAAGCAGGACAAAAGGCACCACCGTGTAGCAGATAGCGATCTGAGTGGCCGCCCACGTTATGACATCATACAGCAGTTTGTGCGCCGCAGAATGCAGGAAGTGCGGCCGAACTTTGTGTCTCACCTGTGAGGAAAAAAAAACACAGACTGTTACTCAGCTACAGAGCTAATTGGGTATTATAAAAAAAATATATATATATATATATATATATATATATATATACGATAAAATATTAACAGTCAAATAAAAAAATGTTGACTGCAAAATAAAAAAAATATCAAAAGACAATTAATAAAATATTAGTAAAGAAATATGCACAATAAAAAGTCAACAAAACAGTATCAACAATGTGTTTTAATAATGTTGTAATTACCATTAATTCTGTTTAATTTATCAACATCCATCCATCCATCCATCATCCATCCATCATCCATCATCCATC